CAAAAATGTGCCAGCACTTTCCCTTCCCACCGCCCCCCCAGTCCTCCTCAAACTCCTTAGGCCAAGAGCCTTAACAAAAGCTGTTTTCTGTTTGGAAGATCTCCGGGTCCTGCGCTCTCTTTCCTAACCCCTAACACAGGAAATGATTTTATAATTCACGTTATTAAGCAATTCGACTCATGCTCCCCCCTCTTCCCACCTCATTCCCTGGATGTCGACCGACAATAAGCCTGTGGGCTGGCACCCATCCTCTCTGACCCGTCTGTGTCAGCTCCTCTACCTGACTCTGCCCATAAATCATCCTGCTGGCTCTCTAGTGAGGGTGTGCAGGCAACAGGGAGCTTTCCCCAGCATCCAGCTGTGCTCAGCACTCGGGCCCCTGCTCAGCCATGAGTTTTGGGAGATACCTGGGAGTTCTACAGTGAGCTGCTCCCGAGTCCTGTGTGCGAGTGTGTGTCCAAACATTGCATTTCACATAAGGCCTGTCATGCCAAAGACCATGACAGCCACTGGGATGCATGAACTAAATGTCCTTTGGCAAGAAGGAGAAACCCCATCTCTGTCCCGAGGTGCTCAGGAGAGGGCAGGTACTGAGGGCCAGCATCACCCAGCGCAGGTGGGGCAGATGTGTCAGGGCAGCCCTGCCACTCTGCCCTACTCCAGAGCTGCCTGGGCGATGCTGCCAGTGCTGCTGCCCCAGGGAGCCCTTTGGCTGCCTGCCCTCCCTGTCCTGCTGTGCTGAGGGCCCAGGAAGCGTGGAGGACAGCGAGGCTGCAGCTCAAACTGCAGTCACACTGAAGTCAGCTCCTGGAGCTGGCTTGGGGGAGGCTTCCTTTGCTTCAGAAGTGGGCTCTGTAATGGCCCACTGTAAATGCAGCAACTCTAAAGCCCTTTTGGGAGGAGGAGCAGATGCCCTTTTTCCAGGAGAGAGCCTCAAGCACTAGCTGGAGGACTGTGCTTCCTCTTCCTGGCACTGTGGATATCATCTTTGTGTCTCTTCCCTGCAAAATGAAGAGAACCTCTCCTGCCTTTCTTGGCATAACCTGTGCCCCAGTAGACCAGCCAGGACAGATTGTATCACATCGATTCTGGCTTGGGACATGGGAAGGGATAACAGCCTCTCTCAACAATTTGTTTTGCATGTGCCTGTGTGGGTTTGATTCCTTCAGCTGAGGAAAGGGTGTGAAGCTGAGTCTCCTGGTCCCTCAGCAAACCCCCAGAGTACACTTTTCTGGAAAAGAAGGCAGCATTCCTTCTTCTGCAAGCCTTTTACTAAATAGGTCCAGCAAGCTCCTTCAAAAGCAGGCCTGCTGAGAGCTGAGAATCACAACATATCTCTGTCCCCAACTATCTTATCAGCAGGTAATACCCTAACAAACTTTCCTTCCCACCTGGGGCAGGATTCCACCTGCAGCAAGCGTGGGCTGCTCAGACGTCACAGAGCTCCAAGAGGGAGCAGGTCACAGAGCTCCAAGAGGGAGCAGGTGATGCTGCCCCATCTCTGGTGAGAGTCATGTGCCTGGACTATTGATGGAGGGACACACAACTTTTAGATGTTTGCATCATTTGCAAGGAAAGCTCCTGGGCATTTGGCTGCCACTCTGTGTCTTGAGTATGCTTGGAAAGCTTATTTCAGTAGGGCAGTGGGTGAAGTGGCTGGGACACACCTGCTCCAGCAGATAGGTGATGCTTTAGAGACCAGGGAACAGCTTGGAGAAAAGAGAGTGTCAGTGGCCTAAGTTACTATTTTCTTCTTCTTCCTTGTGGCTGGGCCAGTTCTTCACATTGTCACAGAACTTCAGGTCCCAGCAGGTCTTGACTGGCCAACATGCCAGGCTGAGGGGTGCCCCTGTATCAGATGCCCTGTGCCCCTCTGGGGGGCTGCAGTGCCCTGTAGTCAGTATCCATTGCACCTCTGAGGAGCCATGCTCCCACCATTCCTGGAAGCAAACAGCCAGAAGCTGCTGTTCTGCTGTGCTTTTCCACAGCTGTCTGTGTTTTGCTGGTGCTTCCCATGTTTCGTGCAAAATGTCCCAGTATTGCTCAAGGTAGCAATGAATTTCTTTGCTCAATACCACATAAATGACAACTAAAATGTGTGTAAGCCTATGAAAAGCTGTTTTCCCCATTTAAAAACATTTCAGCTGTTATGTTCAGTGTGAAGCAGGTTCAACTCAATTCTGGGTTCTCTCTCCCTCTGCTGCACACGTGTGGATACTGAGTACCACCTTTCCTAACTCACAGATCCCAAATATCATGTCAACTTCCAGTGAGGATGGAAGGCAAAACAACTTAAGAGACTGCTTCTTTTCCAAGTTACACCTCTGTAAATCCAGAGCAATTCCAGGGGAATCAACCTGAACCAACATCAGCAAATTTGCTCTTAGTTTGCACACAGAATGTTTGTCATAGTTGTTATTATTAAATGATGTCTTTATATTCCAAGTCTATTTTTAAAACAAAGGGAATGAAGTTTGGGCATCCAGTTCTATATATGGACACTCCAAATGGCATTGAAATGCCTCATGCATGTGTTTGGCTGAGTGTTGATTTGAGTGTCCAAATATGGACCTCAGAATGGGATATCTCACTTGGATAAGCATCCTTGCAGATTTGGCTCACAGCACTTATTTGAACAAAGCAAATTTATTTCTATAATTTAGCACGGAAAAAGCACAAATTGTTTTCATTTTGAGGGACATCCTTATTCACAGAATCAGGCCACTCAAAAAACTGTCATGTGTAGTAGTTCTGAAAAAAATAAAGTTCTCAAAACCATCTAAGACAACAGGGGAGGAAATTAATGCAGAGTGCTTGCAGTACACAGACCCCCTTTTATCACAAGGGCAAAATTCTCGCTGACAGCAAGAATTCAGTGCTAGCAGAAGGGCCCGTGCAGCTTGATCACAGCAAACTCCCCTCTGCCCCGGCAGTGTGAAGGGATGCACGCACGGCCAGCTGCTCCGAGACCCGAGGCAAAGCTGCCTCGCCCTGCTGATGGAGACAGTCTCTGCATCCCAAACCCATGTGTAAGGGCTGGAGCCATGGCTGCTGCATGCAGGAACCTTCCCCTGTATCTCCTGGTGCACAGGATTTTCTTTGTCTGGCTCCTTGATGGCAAGTTCCCCAGGAAAGAGCTTGGCTTGGCTATGAGGTCTTGGTGCTCAATAAATAATGTCAGCAGCAGGAGAGCACTGATCTGCAAGTGTTTGCTGGGCTCCTGTTAATTGCAAAGGACCTCTACATCCTTTGTGTAATTCCATTCATTTTGTTGGCATCGTACAAGGGATGGATTTGGCCTCAGAAATAAAGCAGGTTTCTCTTGAATAATGTATTGTACCATTTGGTCTGCATTTTCCTCAAGGTTTATGTTTTCTTGGATATTTCTCCCCATATATGCAGCTGGAGATATTTTTTCAATACCAAACAATGAACTGATTCAGCTGTTCAAAGCAGTTGTTCAGATTCTGAATTTTGGGGTAAGATGTTAAGAAAATATAAGGTGAGCAAATTCTCAGGAAAGCTAAGGCAAGTTCGTGATCACTGGAAACATGTGAAGCCAGCTCTAGCCTAGATCACTTTCTCTACCTCTGCTGTCCTGATGATTTTTGACAAGCTGATTCCATTTCTGGAAAAGAAAACCAGTTCACCAGAGTGAAAGATTTCTCTAAAGAGTCTGTTATTTTTCAGAAGAGTGAAAATGTGTGCTAACAATTCTGGACCACTGACAAAAGCAAAATCAATACACACGGCCTTCATTTTACAGCCAAGTTCAGATGAATAAATAGAGATGCAGCAAGCTGTTTACTAGGGAGACAAGCTTCACTCTACATGCCCTTCCAAGCAGGCAGGCTTAGGCTGTTGTTGTTTGCCTTACATGGCTGGTTAATGAAATCAGTCAAAGAGTTCCAGAGCTCACCGGACATTTCCAAGCCCTCCATCAGCAGTGCTGGCTGTGCTGGCCAAGAGCTGGGAAGCAAATGCTGTTGTGTGAGACAGCTGCGGCAGAGGTCTGGGGGCACTTGGGAGGAGCTTGGTCCTTTGAAGAACCTCTGATTTCAGGGGGAGTTCATGCACAGAAAAGCCCCATCCTCACAAAAGGCAGGCAGAATACTCCCTGTACATTGCCCCAGAGGCAGCGTGAGAAAAGGGTGCTTGCACAGATCCTCCCGAAATCAATGAAGCTGCAGCCACTGCATCTATCCAGGGATCTTCTCCAAGATCAGGACCTCACTCTGAACTGTGATAAGTGCAGGGGTTTTTCTCCCCATGCCTTAAACTGCAGAAAGTGAGAAGTGTCAAGGGAGGCATGAAGATGGAAGGGACATAGATACAGCTTTCAAGAACAACTTACACGTATTTTTCTGTGGCTTCAAACTCAGGGGTCTTCTTGTCTGTGACCAGGCAGGTATAGGAATGAATAACTGCATGCACAAAGAGGGGAAAAAAAAAGAAAAATAAAACAACAGCACATTTAAGTGCATTTTTTTCTTGGAGATTTATTTTGTTTTAATAAATCTGACACCAGTCAGGGAGAGAGAAAAGCATTGCAAGACCGAAAGGAAAGCAGAGCACGCTGAGGGTGCTTCAGATTCTTGCTCTCTTGAAGATGTTTCATCAAAATGTCTTTGAGCTCTCTCCCTAGAATCAGGAGTTTTTGGATTCCCCCTCCCCACCCACCCCTTTCTTTTTTGTTGGTTTTTTTTTTCGTTTGTTTGTTTGTTTTTTTAAAAAGCGAGCTTACTCGCCCGGTGTGATTTCCAAGCTTTCACAGCTCTAATAAATAAGGAGCACCTGTAAAACAGTAGCTTGACTTAAGTGAATCTGTACAAAGGAAAATATAGAAATACAGTATATACATAGTGCTCATAGTGCACCATCACTACAAGGCTCTGGTTCAACTGACTCTGCTGCCCTGCTCCCAACACTGCTGACACAGAGACTCTGCTCCCTCCTCTCTTCCCCGCAGCAGCCTTATAGAAAAGGTGTACTCTGAACACTCAAGAGTGAACAATTGCTTTATTCGAGTTAGTAAACAGTTACACTGAATCACAAGGTGATCTGAAATTTTTTTTACGTTTTTTTTTCTTTCTTTTTGATTTTTTGTGGGGTTTTTACATGTTTTTGTATTTTTTTTCTTTTCTTTTTTTTTCTTTTTTATTTGTCAGAATGGGATACTCCACAACTCTCTTACCAATTCAGTGCCAGTATAACATGCTCTAGTGTACTTTTGGACTCTTGGCTACAACTGTACAAGTGCACACAAGTAAATTCTACCCTGTTATCCTCCACCCACTGATTGAGGATCAAATTGCACATTTCTCTTAACCATGACAGGAGAAAGCAAACAGTGAAACAGAATCATGGGGGATCTTTCTCACTTTACCCTTGTTTTCATTGGTTTGTCCATACCATTCTAATTATCATGAAAGGGCTATGCATATGGAGAGATTGTCTCACTGCCTTCCTGGATCACTGAAAACCATCAGGGTTGAAATTTCATCCAAGTCTTTCGTGACGCCCAGCAAATATTCCCCTCAGATTATTTTACACCTTGAGGGAATTTTGGTCTTTAGTTCAACACTCTTGCTCTGTTCCCAAATGGGGCGCTATTTAGGGGAATTTAAAGAGAAAGCTGAGAAGAATAAACATTTACTGAGTTCTCTTGGCATTCAGTCTCTGAAAAACCACAGTATAAACTATTCATGCTGCTTCTTACATCTGTCAAATCAAAAATTAAAAGCCATAAAAGTGTAACACTGAAAATATGGCATTAGAAAGGATAAAGGTGGCCTTTGTAAAAATAACAAGGAAAGTATATTAGCCAATAAAATATTCTAACTCTTCATTTAAAAGTGCATCATGGGTAGGACAGAGATGACTCTGAAGCGTTGCTACTCCAGTATTACCCCTTTCCCCCATCAAAACTTGAATAGGTCCAAAACCATACAATGCAAATCACAATTCTTAGTGTAGCAGCAAAACCACAGCAGTTTTTCAAAGGAAAAAAAAAATTTAAAAAAAATCCGTATCATTGTCCAGTCTCACGTATCTGAACTTCGAAGTCAGTGAGGGAAAAGTACCTATGTTGGTCCATGTGGTTTTTGAAACCCGGGTGAAAAATCCCCCCAGCAAGAAACAAAGAGGAAAAAGTGTTCCGAGAGGAGAAGAGGGGTTGTCGCAGGAATGCTGAGCACACTGTGTGGATCTATGATGTGCTGTCTTCTGGGTCAAAGGCACCCGTGGGACCGAGACTTCCTTGGGGGCTTCATGACAGGAAGCTCTTTCTTTGTTGGACTTTCAGCCGGAGGGATGGTGAGCGGACCAGCTGGTGTCATTCGGTGCAGTGACGTGGTTTGCTCTGCTCCCTTTCTCCATGCAAGGTACCCTGTCAGTGAGCGCTCCTGCAAAGCAGACAAGCAGAGGGGGTCAGGGAGAGCAGCAGGAGGCTCACTGCAGGCAGGCTGGGCACTGCCTGAGCTCAGGTCCCACACGGCCTCACGCTGGGCAGGCAGCCAGGCCAAGGCACAAGCCCACTGCTCCGGCCTCGCCAGCCCCTCGTGCCTCAAGGGCCATTGGGACACACAGCCTCCAAGGCTCCTGGAAAGGAAGATGGAGGAATTCCTGTGATACAAAGCTGGAAGCTGATATAATGATAGTTAACTATCAACAACACCCTGGCAGGTATAAGCTCCTGAGTCTTAGTGTTTCTAGGGGATACTGGGAGATGTACCAGTGATTCCCTCGTCAGCTGGGCACATAAGCTACCTAGCAGTGATTGTCCCCTCTGTCTCCCTACACAGGGAGCTTTAGACTTTATCTCCTTGGACAGGATCTGCTGTCCCCTACAGATTTGGACTGAAACTCTGCAGTACTTATCAGCCTTAGTTTTGGTGCTGGGGCACACTTCCCTTCTCAGTCTGCTCCACCATCTCCCTTCACACTGGCCCCCCCTGCAATCCCTCTCAACAACGTGCCTGTATCCCCTTGCCAAAGGTCCACCCTCCTTACAGCAGAGACTGGAAGGCACATGGAATATGTTGACCAGCATAAACTTCCACGGCATGGAGACCAGGATATCTAGGTTAAGGAGTAACGTTTGTGCTTTCAGGCAATGTGCCCAGTGAGATGAGCTTCTTTGTGTGTATAGAGAGCTGTGAACAAGAACTAGACTGAGAATTGGGATCTATCCACCTACTAAGGTGAGGCACATGACTGCTTTCTGTCACATTTTTTGGCTTGAAGTCTTGGTGTAAAAAGGGAAGTAGAGAAAATTAAACCTGTAATGTCTGAAGCCTCACACTGCTCCCTCTTTCCATACATCAACGGAAATGAATTTCCATTCCTCACTAACCAGTCTCATAGTACATGGACAGCACAGACCAATAAGGGATTTGGGAGGGAAGGCATAAAGAAGTTCAGTGGCTCTTGATGCTTTCTGCCTGGAGGAGAGCTGTGTAAGTTCTGTCTATTTTCCCATGGTGCAGATGGACTTAGTGTAACAGGGTGTGCAGAAGGGCAGGAAGGACCTTCCCTGTTGACTGGCTCATATGGCAGTAATCTTGTTTGATGAATGCATATTTGTAGCAATCAAGTTACAAAACAAAAATCCGTATCAGGCGTCACAGGCAAAGTTCTGTAAAGAAATGAGAACACACCAGTCATCACTGCTTGGGAGCAAAATGCTACACACCTCGTGCCAGCACTAGCATGCATGACCAGCACAATAAAGTCAGCTATTTATATCTCCCCCCAAAAAAACCCAAATCACTTTTTAGGAGAGCGACACATGCTCTTCACCCTAGCTGAACCTGCCTTCAACACACATCAAATATTGCTGATCAGATAGAAAAATTGCATCAATCACAAAAGAATTTTCATTAGGGTAAAGCCATGGAGCTGAACTTATATGAACTGTGCTGAGGTAAGCACACTGGGTTTTGCTTGCTTTCCAAAGTCAAGTAGGGCTGGGCTGATCCTGAGCTGGAAGACCACCTAGAAGTTAGAGGCAGGCTGTAGTTCAAACCCAGGAAGCAACATGGAACAGATGAGGGAAAGAGAACAAGGAAAAAGGCTCATTTCTGCCCTATTGTTAACGTAAAAGGAAGGAGAATAACTCAACTGGATGATGACCCAGCTCAAGCAGGTGGCTTGGAGGTTCATCTGTGTGGGCTCAGATAGTGAGGCAGTGCTCTCGTGCAACAGGTGAGAGCTGCAATGGTGCCCTGCATGGCTGTTAGTCAAAACCTGAGCAACTGGCAGCTGTGACACAGGCTGCACTCACCCACACAGAGCTTCCTCTTTGGCTGATGCCTGACATGTAAGCATTTAAGTCCTTGCCTAGAGCAGCACAGAATTAGAGCATGGCAGGTCAATCTGGCAGCTCAGGCAAAGCCTCCCCACTCTTTGTTCCCTCTCTGCAGTTACCCAGCTATTTCCAGGTGCTGTTGCAAAGCTACAGCCCTTTATCCTGTGGTGGGAATTTTGGTCCTGCCTGGTGGAGCCAAATGCTGGATGTGTTCCTCACTTCCCCGTCCCTCCATGCTGAGGAGCTGGGTGGCTCAGCTGTTGGGGAGATGTCCTTCTTCTGCTCCCCACACCCCAGCACTGATCCCTGAGTATCTGCTCCCAGCACTGCCCAGGAGCCAAACTGGCAGCATGCTCCTGATGGCCACCAGAAAGAGTTGCTTTTCCACAGTGGCCTCCCCAGTCATGTCCTGCTCCCTCAGAGGGGCCATGTCATTGACATGGCTTTGGACTCATACACACATCCAGATGCACACACAGCTTTTTCCATGGTTGCTTCCCTGTCATTCTATGCCCCATTGAACATTTCTGTCTCCAGATTCACATCTTATTGTTCAGAAAAAATTAGAGACTGGGTGGGGAGGCTGAAACAACCGTTGATGTGGATTGGCATGGCAGAGTTTCCATAATTTAGCACAGCATTTAATTCCCCCAGACAATGAATGCTGATGTGCTAAAAGAGGCCTGGTTCATCTGGGACATGCATGGCCCTAGAGTAAAGGCACTGCAATTATTTTCTCAGGGAAACTGCTCTGAAGATAAACCACAAGAGTGCAGCTAAAGTCAGCATGGGAGCAAGCTCAGCCCTGGAAACACTCGGGAATCATCTGTTACTTGTAATAGTTCTGTAATTTTTAATTTTTTTTTTTTAAATTCTTAAAGCAGTTCAAGCTTCTTCATTAAAACCTTCCCCTTTGAATACTCTATGATTTATCTTTCCATGAGCTAATGGAAGGGATGCCACATTGCAAAAGTCAGGGAGGGCTTTTAGCTCAAATGGGAGAACAAGCTGAGTCCTTAAGCATCAATGCTGGATTTCAAAGAGAGTGATTTCCTTCTGCTCTGACCTTGTAAGCTAAAACAATCCTGCTCAGCTTTGGGTCACCTGTGGAACTCAGCTCTCCCTTCTACCAAAACATGAGCTGCAATCTAAGCAAACATTGTGACTTTAGGGAATACACTGTGGAAGAGCCCTGGGGTTTGCCTTCTATGCCTAGGCAGAGGAAGTGGTAAAGACACCCCCAAGTCTATGAATTGTTGCACCATTTTCTCCAGGCTACTACTGACAGAGGGGTCTCTGGTTTATATTTTGGGACATTCTGAGGTATGTACATGGATCATGCAAAGAGGAAAATGCCATCATGGTTTTGGACTTCTAATCTCTACACTGGAAGTGACTCCTATGGCAGACCACAGAGCCTGCCAGGGCCAGTCCTGACTGTAGTTGGGTATATCTCCACAACAGCAAGGCAGCCCCGTCTCCCCCAGTCAGTGCAGCACCAGTGTGTTTGAGAGCCTTGTGAGTAGTGTGCTTTGCCCCACTGGTGTGCAGATGTGGCAGAAGATACAATTTTCTTCTGAAAAAAAACCCAGCCAAATTGTCCCATTTTAAGCTGGGATAAAGTTGAAATTTTGCAAGGTATTTTATAAAAAAATAACAAGAAAGCAACCAACCACCCCCCCAAAAAAATCCAAACCAAAAAACCAAACTGTACCAAACAAAAAAATCCCCCAAAACTGAAAAACTGAAATAGAAGGTAAACCAAATCCAGACAGCTTCTACTCTCCTTTCCTGAAAACAGGCAACCACTGTGATTCAATAACCCTTCTTTAAACCTCTGATTTTGTCTGAATCAGAACAGTAACTTCAGCTTGCATTTCAGCAGTCTCCTGTGAGCCTAAACCACTATTCCAAGGTGCTTCCCAATTTTGTTATTCAACCTGATCTCTCCAGTAAAACCCGTTAAATAGCCAGAGAAAGGCAATTCAACTGGTGGTGGTGGGAAGGAGGATGGTGAGGATGGGTGTCTTGCTGAGCACAGCCTGTGTCTCCCTGAGAGAGTCCTTCTCACCTGGGCTACACCTGGGCCTGGCTTTTTAACCTGAAATGTTATTGTGGGCCACAAAATTATAACAATTGCAATAACAAAACTTTCTGAAACAGCAATGAACTTTCTTAGTGAAAAGTTTCAGCATCCTATATCACGAAGCAATCAACATTTTCCCGTTTTCCCCACGAACAACTCCACTGTCCATAACCATCCAGGACAGCATGCGTGGCACTGTCCTCACAGGGTTTCTCCCTGGTTTTCACAGCCCTTGTTGTGGTTGTTTTCAAGTCTTTGCAACAGCAGATGCAGACTCATCCAAAAGCAAAGGGGCATGCTCAGGTGGCAAAAATGTCACATGGATTATCTTGTGGGAGAAAGAAGAGGAAAAGCTTGTCCAGAGCACATAAGGAGCAAGTGGGTGAGACCTGGCACAGACCTCAGTGCAATGCCAGATACCTTAGGGCATCTCCCTTATCCTCAGCACTGAACTGGGTGCTGAAAAACCTGGATTGGGCCCAGGTTTAGATTGTCTCTATTTCTCACCCCAAGAAGACAGGAACAATGTTTTTACCACCAACCATTTCAGCAATAATTGGCAAACTGCTTCAAATAAAACTGAATTGGCATTTTAGCTGATCTTTCAAATTTAGGGTCACAATTCAAATGTATCCTCTCTAGTCGTGTAAAGACTCTCTCAGTTGGAGAATTCCTGTGGGAAGGGGCTTTTTTTCCTCCTCTTTTTGGATAAGGAACTTAGAAGTGGCAGCACAAGTAGTTCATGAAACCTTATAAATATTTGGAGCATAAGCAGACGACACAAAGTTTTGCATTTAAGCACGTGGGCTCCAAATAAATAGCTGAAAATTGCCTTAACCATAGGTTTCAATATCAATCACCTGATGATGGGATGCAGATCTTTCCAGAGAGGTCAGAATTCCATAGTTATGCCACTCAACACTACCCAATCCTGAAACCCTCTATTTCTTAATTTATTTTTTTCTTAATATCTGCCTTCATAGAAGATGATTACATTACACTGCACGAAA